TTCAATAGTCAGCTGATATTTATCTAGTTTCATGTGTACATCAGCGAGACACGCAATCTGCGGTTGATGTGATTTCGGTTGTTTTTCAGCGAATATTAATGATTTTTTGTAATATTCAGTTGCGAGTTCGTATTCACTTACGAGGGAACCATCTGAGGTGATACCTCCCGCTTTCATTCATTCATATCTCATTTAGTTGAGTATATTAAGATAGTAAAAACCCTAAAGGGGATTTTCCCCAATCTCATTCCTTCAAAAGTTATCGACGTTTTCCTATTTTTACCCTTATACAAGATGAAAAATTTTTTAAAATGACAAATTAGCAAAATAAGTCAAAGAGATCTGAAAGTTTGACTATATATGGACAAGCTATTTTAGTGTGGCGTATTAGACGAGTGTATCTGAACCTTCTTTAAGAGAGTAGAGGTTTTGTTTTATACCTCTTCTACAGAAAAGACTACTCTGTATCATAGCGTTTTTAGGAGAAAAAATTATTTAAACGAATTTCACAATTTTATTGTTTTCAAAGCAAAGTAAATTCATAAAAGAGTACAAATATATCGAACTTCAAGAAATAAAAGATGTAGTTTTCAATGAATATGGTACAATTCGAAGAACTGATAAAAGCATAAAACTTTTTCGCAATAGCTACATTGTATTAAAAGAATATTAGTGCATTGATTTTCGTGGCAATCATATTCTCGAAATCGAAAGCACAATTGTTCGACATTTTCATACGGTCCCGGATCTTTTTCAACATAACCACCTTGAAACCAACTGTATCGATGCATCGGTAAGAAATTTTTAGAACAAATTTGATTATAACATAACGAAGTTAATTTAATTATATTGTTTCTTTGTGAAAGATTACAGTTTATATCATAAAGACGCACATGATCATAAATCGTACGAATAATATGTTTATATTGACGATTGAATGTAATATCTAGTGGTTGAATCATCGAAGTTATTTTCTTTGGAATAATTTCAAGTCGAAGATGTTTCATCGTCGAGTATGATTTTTGATCAGTTTGACCACCCCAAACATCCAATAATAATAAAACTTTTTCATTACCAACTGCTGGTTTTAATACGTTGTGAATCCAATATTCGACAAGAGACGATGTCAACTTTCCTGAAATACGATTCACTCATATATCTGTAGCATTAGTACTAGAGCAATAAGTGATACTCGATAAATTACTAATTAATGATGTTGAACGATTATTTGAGGAGGAATCTACACATACAGCACATTATTAATATCAACAAGACCTTTAATATAGGCCTCTGCTGAGCGTTTATTTGGGAAAATTAGATAACGACCATGTAATAATAATTTTTCATCCTCCAGTTCTAAATAAAAACTACTACGTTATCATCCAACACTAAGAAGTACTGGAAGTGAATGATCACCAAAAAGAGATTACATTCCGTATAACATCGTTGTAGATTGAATATCTAGGTGTCTAAAGGCTCATTTAGTAAAAGAGTAAAAATAAATAACTCTGATTTTACTTACGATCATACATTGTATTGCCTAGAAAACGGCTTGTCTTACCCATTTGATCGAGATCATATAGATCTGTTTTTAAAGTAACACATGATTGTATTAGTAATATACGACGACAGATTTCATCAGAATCTGATGACGGTCTCACTTTAGTACTAGATGGTACGGTAAACGTCTGAATGCTTTTCAGTTCTTCTAACAAAATATTCACATCAAATAGTATGTTTGATTGATCTAACAAACGTTCATGCAAATATATAGTTCTTTTAACAATAACGGCAGTTATTATAATAGTATTTTCTTTAAAATATTCAGAAACATAAGTTCGAACAGCTGTAGAAAACGCGGTTGAAAGACCACGATCGTCTAAACAATAAAAATAATAGTGCATACTGTAACTCGCTTTGCGGAAAATATTGCTCGTATGTAAACAACATATCTCTTCTAAGAGTCAACTAGCAAAAGATAACCCTCTTTTCCCTCTCTCCGAAAATCTGATGAATCCACTTTCTAAGGAAAACATTCGAAATGTCGAAAGAAACTTTTAAATAAGTAAATCACCAAGTACACACCATCATGTCCGACATTAATCTTTGACAAAAATCTGTGTAATAACATCAGCACAACTTATCAATCCACACAATCGTATTAATATTTCAATGTACTTAACGAATCTTGAGGATTCTATTTGACTGTCGTTACTTATTTCTTCGGCATGGTAACCTATCAGAATAACTATCGAGGATCATCAATACTTCGTCATCGAACTGAAAGATCCGTTGCCCTAACAAGTGCGCACATACAAATAATTGCGTAAGTGATTGTAGGTTTTTATCTCGCGGTTTAAACGTTGAACGCGAATAATAAGAAATTGGTAATACAAGGTACAAGAATCTTTCCACCAATCCATCTGTTTTGCCGTACGATTGATATCTCTCTAATATTGTACGAAACAATGACCCTGTTGAGGCACCAACTATCGATAATCTGACATTACGGACGTTTAGTTTGTATGTCATGGTGATTTTACGACAGTTGAAGCCAGTGTGAAGAGAGCATACTCTATGTTTTCCATCATCTGTAGAAGCACCATGGAAGTATCCCATTTTTTTAAGAGTATCGTCAATTTCATCCGTCACCACGTATACAAATGGATTTACTTAAAACGAACGATCCATTATTACACGTTATGAGTTTTAGTGAGACAGTTTTTCTTTTTGCTTAAAAATGTTCATCACCCTACAGAACAATCATCCACACATAAAACCAATCTTACCACCAGACGTATCACCGTCGCCCTCAACGAACATCAGGAGAAAGATTATCAATCTGTCTTAGGCTTTAGCAGTATTCCATTACTCAAATTAGATAATATCACCACTCGGTAAAAAGGGTACAGGAAAAAAAGGAATATAAGATCATCTTTTCGCAAAATACATCGACCAGCACCCCTTTAATCTCATCTCCTCTATCATGGACTTAATCAGTACTCTATATAAGAAATACGGTTGAGAACAAAGACCATTTACCAGCATTGATAAAATCATCGGTCTGTACACTAACGACAATTAAAAGAAGATTCCACTTTACCACCTGATATTTCGAACAGCTCAAAAAAAGATGAGCAATTTCCATTTTCTTGAATGGAAATGAACCACATCTCTTGGAACATGTACTAGTGAGAGGATTATTGATTGTTCCGATAAACTATAATCAACGGACTACAAAATAAATAGTGCGAGTATTTTCTAGGTTCTCAGTCGAACATGATCCAAATATTTTGAAATCGAAACCAGTTAGAGGAGAACTTCTTCTTTTTGTGCAATGGACATGAGCAGTATCGCAACAGACAAAAACCACTGAAGAAAGGTTTTTTTAGTCTTTTCACGCATATTCTATAGAATACAAAGCAACTGTTTATGAGAGGAGGGATCTTTTATATCTAAACTTGTATTACGTATAACCATAACCGCCTGTCACACTGCCACATGACTATGTGTACGTACATCCGTCACACTCATGTGTTCTGGCGATAGACACTGCCATCTATAACTCTGCTAATCTATTGGACAGTACTGGCCAATAGTCGGTGTTCGGAAAGACTGACTGACACGCATTTAAAGGTTGTAAGACTCTCCCCTCCGGTGGGGAGAACTTATATCTCATGGTCACACCTCCCTCCGGTCGGCGTTCGCTAGCGGACTCTCCACAATATGTTCTGGAATATGTGTAGGAACGTCCGTCACACAAGTAACGCTAGGTCTCTGACTCTCCACCGAAGGCTCGATACCGTCAGCTAGTGGTCTGATTTTCATTGTGGTATCGGTAGCAGGTAATGCTCGTTTGCAAGCTTTTACAGTTTTTCACACTGTTGATCACTTCCTCACATAGACACAAGATAGCGCCTCTGACTTTACGAACTTATATGTGCGGACGATCTTCAATCACTTTTAATACAAGAGAACGCTCACCCTGCCTTCGGTCGGCGTTCGCTAGGCGACTATCCACAATATGCTGTGGAGTATGTGTATGTACGACTATCCACAATAAGTCGGTATGTGGGTCCCTCACACGATGGGGGCGGTCAGTTAGTGGACTACTTTTCGTCCTAGTATCTGTCGCAAGTAACATCGTTTACAACGTGACAGTTTTTCACAGTGCTGGTTGCTCGCAGAATATATACACAACTCAACGGATCCTCTACAGTTGACGACCTCACTGGGTAATAGAATAGAAATAATTCCTCCCTCTACATCAGTAAACACTAATAATATGACTTCAACTTCCTTTCATATACGGACTGATGGTATTACTGATGAAACAGCCAGAAATAACTGTAATAGGGTAACTACAACTACTACAGTTCATATATCTCCGATTAGTATCTGTGCTCCTCTTCTCTCTTCACGTCGCTGGATTGATTCGGAGGTCCAAACGGGCTTAACCTTTGAGACATCAACCATTGAACAAGATAGATTAGACGAAAACATTGAACGTTTTAGATTATGTAAAGAATGGTGGGTAACGATGGACTGTAAAGTACATAATAATAAACTATGTAAACGAGAGAATTGCGAATTGAACCATCGGCAAGAGGATTATTGCCGGATATGCAACGGTAAAAGTCGACATATGGTTGCTCAAACAGCGTTTACGGCTGTCGAAGAAGAGGAGAACGTGATAGGAAAATACCGTAACGAATATAGTCGATATTATCGGTTTTGAAATCACTTAGCACTAAATGTATACTATCGTGAAAATAACCTTTTTCCCGGTCACTCCAAAGCGATGTACCAAAGCAAAATTTTGGTGCCGATGATCCGAAACTTAGGCAACAACGGTTAGATATTATTCAAAACGCTAGTAAAGATCTATTGAAATGCGAGGCACAAGCTATCGAACGAACGGTTGCGGAAGCCGAAGCGAAATGTGAATTACTACGAGATAAGTTGTGTGAAATGAGAAAGGAACGAGAAATGATGGATGTGGAAAGAGAGGAAAGTGTAAAATTGAAAGAAACTATTGAAAGCTATGGAACAAAGTATTTCGTCTAGAAATGCGAGAAATAACTCCTCGGAAAACAGGAAATGAATATGAATCGTCGGATGATGTGACATCTTCAATACAAAATATATTGGGGAGTAACGACCTGCCTAATACTCAAAAAGTTTCTCTTCATGCGAACTACATCGTCCAAGAGGATCTTGTTTTGGATGTGATAAGGTTGGCCACATACAGTCGAGATGTTTTGCGATTTGCTCATTTTGCAACGGATGAAAACACTTCGAGGAATTTTGTAAGAAAATTAAAAAGATACCTGAACCATCTTTAACAGACTCTTCATGCGATCCGATGGTGGATGAATACATATGCAACTAACGAGGGAACCATCTGAGGTGATACCTCCCGCTTTCATTCATTCATATCTCATTTAGTTGAGTATATTGAGATAGTAAAAACCCTAAAGGGGATTTTCCCCAATCTCATTCCTTCAAAAGTTATCGACGTTTTCCTATTTTTATCCTTATACAAGATGAAAAATTTTTTAAATGACAAATTAGCAAAATTTTTTAGCAAACTATTTTAGTGTGGCGTATTAGACAAGTGTATCTGTTTACTAGCGCCTTCTGTTATGTGTTGATATAGCTCTATATAAAGGAATACAATACTACTAGTGTCTTTTTTTCTCATATCTACAAGTACCGTTGCACTATAGTTTGTTTATGATGTCAGAGTCACTTCTATATTTTTATTGGTCATGACAGAATGGCATTGTGAGGAAAGGATTTTCGATTGTGTATACAAGCAGTCTATATATTCTAAACAATTGTGAAAACGTATATACTATTGGGAATTGTGTTCGTTTTAATTTGAACATATTTTGAATAATCATGATCAATCCTCATCGCGTTGCAGAACTGTTAAGTAATTTAATTTCTGAGCGTTTATCTTTGGATAATCGCAATAATACAGATAGTAAACGTGATGAAGAAGTTGCTAAACATTTATATGATCACGTCGAATCGATTCTTGAAAGTTCACAATATTCTTTCGAAAGTGAACATACTATTGATTTTAACGATGATTCTAATGCCGAACAACTACAAGATAATGAAGAGGAGGATGAAGATGATGAAGAGGACGAGCAGCAACAAATGAATAATGATGACGAGCAATTTGACGAAGAATTCATGGAAGTAGATAATGATCAACACCACCATGTACAAAAGGAGTTTTCTATTCCATACATGAAGCAAGCTATTGATTTTTATGATCAGATAAACGAAAAAACAGGGAGGAAAAGCCATTCTTGGAAAGCATTTCAACATCGTTTTCCAAAAGTGAAAAATCGTAGCTATAAACATACACAGGTATGATATTTCTGACTCAAATTAAACTAGTTTAAGCCGATAGACTCACCAGCTTTTCAGAAATCTTCTGGGTATTGAAACGTGACTTGCTTAGGTTACCAAGCGTCTTTCAACGACAAGATCAATTTCTTGGGAAACGAAATGGTTTCCAGATTAAAACTATATTTTCCACGTACTTACCGGAAGTGCGTTCAAAAGAAAGTTTTCTAATATTGTCAAAGTTGAAAAACAAGATTATGAATTCAGCTAATTTTCGTTAGCGTTTTCTCCATCAAATTTTGTCCAAACTTAAAATTAATAGCAAACCCGGTATCCGCCTCGAAAACTGGATCAGAATATATACTTATGAATTTGATGAGGGTGAGAATGACTTTCCAAAGTTTAATTCCAAGCTACATTACGATGCGTTT